GCATCACCACAGTCCTGCTCAACAACACTCCCCACCTGACACCGACACACAGCATCACAACAGTCCTGCAACACCAAACACTCCCCACCTGACCCAGACACACAGCATCACCACAGTCCTGCACAACAACACTCCCCACCTGACCCACAGCAACACATTCGATTCAACCTGACACACTCACACCAAAGTCGCCTCTGACTTACCCCTTCTCCCCCTTGTTGATGAACTTCTGGACCTCCTTCACCCCTCTACGGATCTGCTTCTGCTTGGAGGCTGGGATAGAGTGAGAGAGTAAAAACTCTTGAATTACACAATTGTAGCTTCCGATCCTACTGGGAGAGGAAACTCAATAGAGCTGCAGCCCAGCGTGTGATCTCCTGTCACTCAATAATGCTCCATATTTAAATGTCTGTAAACGTGTTAGTTGTACGTGCTTTGGCATCACTGTAACTCATCGGCCCCGCCAATAAAGCTGTTTGAATGTAGGAGGAGTGAGACGGAGAAGAGTTGGGGAGGGAGAGAGAAAGGAGAGGGGATAGAAAAGCGAGCAAAATAACCAGTCTGCTCATTATCGCCAGTAGCCGTGTATGGAGATACATGCAGCACAACTAATGAACAGCGCATTCACTCCGACGTGCACGGTACCCCGTCTCGGACGCCGGTGTCCGGCAGGCCCGGAGAGGGGCGTCCACACTCGTGTTAGCAGCAGCAGCGAGGCGGCAGTGCTCCTACCCTTCTTGACGCACTTGTACAGTTTCTTCGTGAGCTTCCGAGACGCCAGCGGCTGGGCAATGGCGTTGATATTGGCGATGAGGTCCTGATACGTGTTCTCCGTGCTGCCGCTCTCCTCCTCCACCTTCTCCTTTTTCGCTTTGGTCATTTTTTAAAACAAATTCTGCTTATTCTGTTACTCGCGTGAATTGCGCCTGCAATGTTCAACCTTCTGGCTTTAGAGACGCGGTCTGCAGCCACAACACGTGTTGTTACTGGATCCTTGACGTCACTTCCCTTTCCTGCTTGATTTTTAACTCGCCATGTGGCCCGAGGGATACTCGCGCCCTCTGGTGCTACGGAGGAGTATTGAACACGAAACGGACTTTCTCGAGACGAACCGTTACATTCACTGAACAGCTTTTACCATAGCATTTTACAATTACATTTACAGTCCCTGAACAGCAGAACACGTTATGACAGGGGCTACAGTTCCAGTGCCCAGTCTTAGTACAGTGAACAGTTTTGTTACAATAGGAGCTACAGTCCCAGTGCAGTAGAACAGTCCTGTTACAATAGAGGCTACAGTCCCAGTACAGTAAACAGTCCTGTTACAATAGGAGCTACAGTCCCAGTACAGCAGAACAGTCCTGTTACAATAGGAGCTACAGTCCCAGTACAGCAGAACAGTCCTGTTACAATAGG